ACATTGGAAGGGAGGAGCCTCAGCAGACGACTTAACGTTAGCATGCAAAAATGCAGTAGATTCTATGAACGAGGCTAGGAAGGTTTTGGATGAGTACTGCGCGCTATTTGAGGCTTCGATAAACTGGGACAAATCGGTGTTCTTCCTCTCCCCCAAGTTTGTGCTCTGTGTGGATTGGGGTCCCCGACAGATTCCGACGGGAAACTCTGACAGGTTTTTGGGGGTGCAGATTTCGTTGACGGACTGTGCAGGAACTCAAGACAACCTGCTGGTGGAAAAGGTCTCAGCAAGAGTATCAGGATGGATAAGATCCCACAAGTTGTCCCTGTTCGGACGTGCGGTGGTCCTCTCTTCAGCTGCCTTCTCCTTATTATGGTTCCCCCTTACGGTCCATTATTTAGGGGAGGAGGCGTACAAGAAATTGAAGAGAGTAGCGGCCAGGTACCTTTGGAAACCGGAGGCTTTGGAATCACAGAACTTCATGTCCAAAATAGCCTGGGAAGCAGTGGCACAACCAAGAGAGGAGGGAGGTCTGGGTATACTAGACCCCCGTCAACAGAACATAGCACTGCTGAGCAAGTGGGTGATCATGGCATTATTCGATGGGGAAGGGAAACTGTGGGTTAAGTTTGATGAGTATATTTTAGGCTCCGAGTGGGGGCTGAACTCTGCTGCGGATGTTTGGAGGGTCATTATGATGGAAGCCTATGCGAGCAAACGGCCGAAATCCAAGATATGGTCTGCTATTCTGAACGCATGGAAATTCGGCCAGAGTTGCTTAGGCAACCACAGACTAGACTCGAAATACTTATCGGTTTTTATTTGAGAACCCATATATTAAGTGTAGTAATGGAGAGGTCTTTCAAGTTTCCAAAGAACCCTGAGATTTTGGGAGAAGCTGGATAGAAATACAGATGTGGGAGACTGGATCTCGGTGACGGAACTGAAGGCAAAATTGCCGAGACTAAGGAACGCAGAGGTAAATTTTACCCTCATGAAACAGGCGATCCCACCATTCTGGAAAGGTTTACTGAAAGATGATGTGGAGTACGGTGGGGAGACATGGCTTTTCCACCCAACAGACACCAACCCCCCACGCATTCTGAAGGTAGTGGGGCCAGAGTTAGGAGGGGGGATAAGAGTCAAGGTTTGGACGACACATAGAACGACAAAAGGGGAACGGCTGCTGGCCGCAGAAACTGAGGAGACTATCCCAACTACGGTTGGCCTGCCGGAAGCTAGAGTTCTCGATTTGGGTAGTCACAAGGAGCACCAATATACTCTTCTGAAGAAGAAAGCAGAAGACTACAGGGTAGAACCCTTACTGTATGGCTGGAATCAGACCTCAAACGCTGGGACTACTCCAATTTACAGGTATGAGCCGAAGATAGGAGCAGCGGCCCAGCGACAAAGGGCAAAGAAAAAAACAACTGAAATGGCGCTGGAAAGGTTTCGGAAACAAATCTGTCTTCAAGACAAGCAGCCAGACTTTAAAGTTATATGGAAAATTCTGAAGAGGATACCCTCCCAGCGCAGGCAGGTTTGATGTGGCTACAGGCTATGCAGGCCACACCGTCAGCGGTCTGGTTGGAAGGGAGAGGAACGCCGATAGATATCACTTGTCAGAGATGCGATTGTGGTTGGGAAAACAGCACTCACTTATGGCTGCATTGCCTGCTGTCCGAGGAACTCTGGCGGTGGTGGAAACACCATTGGCAGAATATGGTGGGGGAGGAATGGGAGTGGTCGGATGATTGGATCCTTCATGCTATCCCTCCTCAAAAGTCAAACTTTACATCTGGTTGTGGGTACGTAGCATTTGTCTGCAGGGGAGCAGTCATGAGTATCATTTGGAAGGCCAGAAATGCGAAAGTCTTTAGGGACGAAAAGATGCCGCTTCAACAGCAGATTATCCTAGTTAAGGAACAAATTTGTCTGGCCATTCGTTCTGACTGGAGAGCCACAAGGTGCAAAGGTGCAAAGAGCTTTAGATTTCGTAGCACCTGGGCAAGGGGCAGGATTTGGGCCTCGATTTCGACAGAGGGTCGATTGGAAATTTCCAAGTGGCTACACCCACGTAGGTGAGACGATTTATAAGTTTCAGTTTGTTTACTGATTTGGCCGTTAGTTAGGACATGAGAAGTATCCAGGCGATAGAAGGCGGATCAAAGAAAGTTGGAAACGGATTTACACTGACTGCTAAGGCAGTTCCTTTTTACTGAGCTTCATGTTTTATCTTTTTGGGAAGTTCTGAAATGGCAAGGGACGCTGGACCCGGTTTCCAGCAGGTAGAGAGATATTTCAGAAGTAGCTGGGGATTGGGCGAGCTTGATTGTAAGCGAAACTGGCTGATGCTGCCAGCTTAACTCCAGGTAGAATTGTGAGGTCCCCGGCCTCGTTCTTGCCTGGTAATGAAATTGTAACTTTCCAAAAAAAAAAAAAAAAAAAAAAAAACAACTAGCATCAAGTCAAGAGGCAAGATGTCTCGTGTTACACCCAATAGATTAATATATTTAATAAATGGCAGCATACCAGCTCGCAACCGCAATTTTTGCCCCAGGCCTGAGGGATGCCCATTTTGGCGAGGTGGCAGAAACATGGCGGGTTTATTGCCGACCTCGCTCCTGGTTTTCTCTTGATTCCATCCTATTGAGCGAGGTTATCATTGCGCTACTTCCAAGTTGGTTCGGGTATTCTTCATCCGTCTCTTTTCATCTCTTCTCTCTCTCTCTCTCTCTCTCTCTCTCTCTCTCTCTCTCGCTCTGGCGTTGGATAAGACTGCTGATTTTATTTTACTTACCATCACGTAGAATTCTGCGCGCACTGCACTCTCACCTGAGCTTTGTGCTCGAAGACTGTGTGCATGCATTCGACTTTCATGTCAGGGGCATAGAATTCTCTGTTGCTTTCCTGAGATAGAATGGCCCTTCATGGACACCACTTTAACCGACGACCACGAGCTGTCACAGGCAAACTCCAAACACCGATGAGTAGCGTCAACAACAAAAAAAAAAAGCAGGCCTACAGTTCCTTCTTTGGGTGAACACTGCTGCCTGACGAAGAAGACAGGCAGCGCCAGCCAAAAAAAAAAAAAAAAAAAAAGAAATCAGCACTGGCGCTTCGGCAAAAGCTGCGCGTGCAGTTTTTTTCCGCCTCCGCAAAAAGAGCCTCAGAGGGAGTGGTGGTCAATGGGATTTGAATGCTGCAATGCGGGGGAAAAAAAAAAACGACAAGAAAAAAAAGTAATGCTGAAAATTAATGTGATGCTGGAGTCAATTTCCAGCATGGGCTGCACCTGGTCAGAATGCAGCTGCTGCTGTTTTAGCACATGGGGAGCTTTTCCAGACCTTGGTGACGCTGCATTTGGAAGCCCACCGCACTCCGTCCCTGGTGTTCTCCCTTTTTTTTTTTTTTTTTTTAATATATGTTTTTTTATTAATTAAAAGGAGGCCACGGTCTTGAGATATCATCATTGAGCTGACCAGCCCAACGCAATTCAGAAATATGTGCGTTTTTACTCTCGTCAAGTTCCGTCATCTAGGTTCGAACACGGGTCTGTATTTCAACAGTTCAATGGTATATACCCACTGAGCTAGGCTCTTGCGTTTTTTTTTTTTTTTTTTT